CATTTGAGATTATTTGTTAGAAGGAAAAACTAGCAATAATTGATGAGTAATGTGGATTTCTTTTTTATTTAAAATGTTATAATTGTATATACCATATTTTGAGGCATTATTTCCCTCCCCTCCCAGAGTCCACTGGAGTTCATGGTATGAACTATATTGATGCTGTAATATATTTGAAAATACATATGTATCATGTAAATCCTAGAGTAATGTGACTGAATACCTTGGTATCTGCTCTTAATTCATACCTTGGCAAAAGGAGAAGTAGCTTCAGGTGATTTAAGAAGTAGTTTGAACGAAGCTAGATGCAAACAGATGGTCAACTGAGTTATAGGCTTTCTCTGAGATAAGGGACAGAACGTTTGAAAGTTGGCTCTTTGTATTCAGCCTGTAATCTTCAGAACCCAGCAGATTTCCTAGCATTATCCTCTATACTGAAATCGTATGAGAAAATTAGTTTAGAAGGTTGGTGGAGCTAGGTGTGCTATTCTAACCTGAAAGGTTTATTTACAGGGGCTTTATAACATAGTGTGTAAAGTGATGTTGTACTGGGTAAGTAACAGATTCTGGCAGCACTCAGAGAATTCTTTGGATGCAGCAAGAAATTGATGCTTGTATTGCAAGGTGTGCTTTGGAAAGGCGACAGAGAGGTCATTTTTAATCCCTTTTATTCTGAATCTTTCTGGATGCCCAGGAAAAGAATAGATGTTTCTGTTTAGTCTGTGATTCTGTCATTGTTAGAATAGGAGAGAGAAATACATCTTCACTCTCCTTACAGATTTTACCCTCTGTCTCTCAGGAGGAGTGGGAAACAGAGGTGTTTCTTGACTCAGGAAGGCACTCACCCCCGCTCTAATGGCACAGATGATTTAATGTTGCTCCATTTTATTGCTAAGGCCTGGCATCTCCCAGTATGTGTCACCCCTCAGTATCCCCCTCTTTCCCTTTGTTCTACTCCAGTACTTGAGCATGGCTTCGACTTGAGTGACATATCTTGAGGTGGAGAAAAAGGACATTTTTGTATTGTGTTACCTGGGTTGTATACATGGATTGATTTGCTCAATATAATGTCTGGGCTATAGGTGGGGTGGTTTTCTACAGGATGTTGTTATGGCAGAACTGGACAGTACCTAGTCACCTCTCTGGGACCTGATCCATGTAAAATGGAACATGTGAGATGGAACTAAGTGGGTAAGAGTCTTTGTCACTTGAAAGATGTCATCAGACAAGCTTCATGCAGAGGTGCACACATCTAGCAGGTTATAGGCCATGAAAGTTAAAAGATACAGCCTGCTCCAACCTTATGAACTTTCTGCCTTATGAATTACTCCCCTCTCTCCCTTTGTACCTTGTTGGTGCAAGGTTCTGTGTTGTCTACTTCTGTTCTGGGAAAAAAATTAGGTACTCACAAAATAGTTTTCTCCCTGATAATTATTGTAAGCTTAAACTATTTTAGATTTGTTGCTAGCAGATCCTGAACACAACATCAAAAGCTCACAGGTCCTTCTGGTTTTTCCACCTAGCAAAGAGAGATGATGCAAAAGGAAATGTAACATGTTTTCTCTTATTCAGAACTTCATGCTATCAAATATATGCTGAAGCATTTGCCAGTTTAGAGAGCATCTTTTGCTGTATGGTAACTGGGAAGCCACTCTTCATCTTGCTGGCCCTGCCACTGAAATCACAGAGATGCAGAGCCTGCCCTGAAGTCCCCAGAGCAGAGATGCATCCCCCAGCTTTGCGGGGTGTGTGAGTGTCTGTGTAACTCAGCTGCTAGCCCAGCTAGATGAGCAAGCAGAGTTCCCATGAAGGGATATACTGGAAGGCATTTTATCTTCCCTAAATTAGATTTATTTTTTAATTTTTGGTAGTTTGTTACCATCAGATTTCTGGCATATACCGTGGGCTTTTTCCTAAACCAAATTGGTTACTGGGGTAATTGGAAGAACCAATTTCAGTTCTTATCTGGTTGTGAAAGGTTTGATGGTTTCATACAATTTGATTTTATCTCAGATTGATAGGTCATAGGTACATTCACAACATATATGTTCTGTCATTTGGAATTAAAAGCTTAAATACTTAAAAAAAAAAATCTTCACATTAGCCCTAACTGGCACAGAGTCATGCCCTGTCCTTCCTCCTCTTTCAGAAAAGGCTACCTACAGGAGCTTTTCAATTTTATAGCTTTCTGATACATATGTTTTTCAATAGGTGGTTCTTAATATGTGTGTAGTGTTAAATTTCATCAAATAATCAAACTTTTTATGTGTAGTACATCAAATTTTGTCCCGAAGAGCCTCCAGTGGTAGGAAACATGAGTGCTGAAGAATGAAAAAAAGCCCCCAACATAAACTGTATTTTTAAAATGAGATCATTGTAGTATTTAAAAAAATCTGGTCTTGCAACTTATACCTTTCAAAGACAAATCTAGACAAGTTTCAGCTGAACAGTTTAGAAGAGAAACTTCTTTGTCTGAATGTGGACTGCATGCAATTTCTGACAGGTTTAAACTGAGATTCCTAAGTACTCACAAATGTAGTTTGAACATATTACTGTGAATTCTTGCACAGTAATTACAAGCTTTAATTTCTAGGTTTTATTGAATTAGGTGGATTTGGTTACACAGGAATTAAAAGAAATGTTCTTAAAATATATTTTATTCTGTGATCTATAGAAATAAATGGATAATGCTTGGAATATGATAGGTATATTTAGTTACTCTGTAATGTAAACTATATTCCTCCTGTAGGTGCTTTTCTAACATGTTCTAACATAAAAATTACTAAGGCTCTGCTTGGAGAGATTTTAAGATGCTTATATATGTAATGTAATGTAACATGCAGTAGACAAAGCATAAACAAGCAAAACCAACTGTGGTGTGTAGAAAGTTCACTGCATTAACTTATGCTAAATGGATTGAGATAAAACTCTCAGTGTCCATTCATGATTGAGCTTTTCTATGAAATTGCACCATTTTCTCTTTAAAATTGTATTTTATAATTGTTAACTTCCCAGTTTTTGACAGAAGTATGAATATTCTTTCTGCTATCATGAAAATCCTATTAATTTTGCTGCATACCTTTCAAAAACATGAAGAATTGTACTTAGCATTTGAATCTACATTAATGAAAGCTAACAAAGTATATGACCATTCCTAAAATGTAGATATTTTGAAGGGACTTTGTTTTTTTTTTTTTTCTGTCTAATGTGTAAACTGGTACTATTACTTTACTTTGAGTCATCCTTTTCTTCCTTCTTTTAGAAATGACATTGAAGTTGTTTATTCATTAACTGTACTATACAGTGATGTGACTAAGAAATTAGAAGCAATCATATTTATAAACCAAATTTCAGTAATGCAAATTAAATTTTCTAGATTACAAACATGAATTATAGCTTCTGAATTTATAACATGATCACTTGGCTTATGTGCAAAATAGAAGTAGAAAAGATGTCCTAAGCCCCACAGAAGGATTGTAACCAGAGCCATGTTTTTGATACCTGAAACAAAGCTATTAAAGGGAGATGATTGGAGATACTTTTCATTATATGATTATGCTTCAGAGATCCAGAAGCATTTACGTAGTTAAGCAAGAAATGTCACCGTTTTTTCATTTTTAAAATCTTTCTCATGAGCGGTGTTTTGTGTTTACCTGAACTAGCACCAGGGGAATTACATCAATAGAGGTTAGTTTGGACTTTGAAAGTCCCAGAATACTTGTGTCAGAGACTAGATCAGATCTTCTCCTGGTGATGGGAATGGTGAGGCCACATAGTTTGTAACAAGTTCTTCAGACAGTGTCAACATCAGGGTGAGAGCCTGCAGTGAAAGAGAGAAAGAAAGGAGAAGGTATTACCAAAGGTTTTTGTGGATTTTGAAGAAGAGTTGAGAGTATTTGTTGCCAAGACTGAAAAATACAAACTATGAAGAGGTAGCTGTTAGCTTGAATTGTGTTTATATTTGTGCTTTCCTTCTGTGTGTTTCTGACCTTGAAGAAGTTTTAGATACTATAGGGCATTCTTTCCCAGCTTTTTAATGAGCAGTATAAATGAAGAGAGTGTTTTTTAACTATTTAGAAGGTTTTCTAAAGGATCAAGGACACTTTCAATGACCAAGAAAAGCTTGGCCAAACTAAAATAAAAATACTTTCTATTAGTCATTTAAAACTCAATGCAATCTTAGATCTAAAACTCATTGTCCTCCAGACTTCACTCAGCTGAGTGTCAAGGTTCAAGTATTGGAGTACCTGTTTGGGAAGTGGTCAGTACTTGGATTTAATGAGGTGTTAGATACCTTGAGGTCAATTATGATGAAAGTTGAAAAGTTTAGGGTAGATAAGCACATGAACTTCAACATTTTACTAGAATACTAATTGTCCTTGAAAATCTGATGTACAATATAGGTAGAGGTGGTGAGGAGTTCTTACATATTGCAAGTTGAGTTCAAGCTTATTGCAAGCACTCTGAACATCCTTTTGTTTCTGTGACAGTCAGAAGTGACTGACAGTGAAAGTTTTTACAGTCACCTGACTGACAAAACACTGAATTTTCATTTTAATGCCACATATCTCCAAATACTACAGCAAATGAAAGTGCATGAAGTATTGTTTGATTCATATTGTTTTCCAGTCTCTGCAGGTCAGTTTTAGGTATCTACCTTGTCACAAGTACCAGCTGATTGTCTCTGCCCCTCTAAGAAGGACTTTTGGGAGCAGTGTAGTTACTACAGCAGGAAATGCCTTTTCCAGTAAATATTGGTGGGATCAAATCCCTGGAATGTAGTGGTTGAAAGACGTGGGGTGAATTTCATACTAGGGAGAAAACAACTGTGAGAAATAACAGCTGGCTTCTTTAGATTTTCCTCTCTAATATTAACTGTTATTAATAAGATGATAAAAGTAGCTAACACTGCAAATGCTAAGTGAATCTCAAAGATTTCTGATACTTGCCATGAAACTTCAGTAACACTTCTTTTTTTCTTTTTTTCTTTTTTGTTGCAGTCAGCAACTGTTTCTGATGGAGGTAAGCTGAAGCTTGTTTTTACTTTTATAATGAAAAATAATCAATTTTCCACATTAAGCAAAATAATAATGTGCTTTATTACAAGATGTAAGTTCAAGGTGGTGCAGAACTTTGTGGCTGCTTTGGGAACTGTGCTAGTAAAAATATTGCAGGCTTGTGTTCACATATTTTCACTGGTTTATTTGCATAATAATTTTTTTTGGTACATTTATATATGCACATTTTTATTGTAACTAGGCTTCTTCAATCATAATAATAGAGGCAGAGCTGGTTGACTTCTGTGTAATTGGATGGTAGATAAAATCTCATTCTCTGTTTTGTTGTCCTTTACATACCTTGTTTGCTTTTAAAGAGGTGCTCTAGGTTCTAAGTTGCAAGCTGTGTACATTTGTTGAGGTTGAACTTTCTTAAGTGTGATCCTTTTTGAGAAGGGGGTAAGTAATTTAATATTTGTAAAATCCCAGCATGGAGTTCTTACATTTCTGGAGTACTTCTAAGTAAACTCCTCTTTATTGCACATAAGCTGGTTTGTTTTGATTTTAACATGCCTTTTAATGTTTTAAAGGATGTCCACTCTTTGTTAAACATTAGAAGATGATTTCTCTGAAGCTTTGAAGTTAATTGAAACAGTTTAAAAAGGCTTCCTTAATGGAATAAAGGAATTTGTATAGTGTAGGGTATACAGGAGATGGCTTTTCTCCTTGTGTTCTCTGGCAGGAGTTGGTTCACTTGATCCTGCAGAGAAACTCATGTATTTTTGTATTTGTGTTCTTTGACAACATTACAAGACAAATTTATTAAATAAAAAAGGCAAAAGGGAGCAAGCTGTGTTGCTATAATCAGTACAGTGAAATTGGAAAAAAATACTGGGAATGATGATTTTTTAATATTACATGCAAATGTAAATGAATATTCGCAATGCTATTTACAAAACTTCTTCATATCCTAATTTCTGATTCCTTGCAAGACTAAAACTGCACTTTAGAAAAACATTTCTTTTTTGGTCCTTTTGCTGGACCCACTTTCCAGTTGCTGACTTTGGCAGGTATTTTCCTTCTCTACTGCTGACAGTCTAATGCTTTACTCTACTTCTGTCTGGATGAGAAGGTAGACTCTGTGTTGTGTCTGTCTTGTCCACAAAGTGATAAAACAACAAAGCAGAAAATAATAGTGTTTATTCTGCTTTCTATTTCTAAAATGTAGCCTGTGTTTTTCTGGGAAAAATATGCTTCTTTTTTTTTTTTTTTTTTTTGACACATGTTATCTTCTTGATATAAAAATCAAAGCGGACCACAGACTTTCTGATTGTGTATGTAGCTGTTGAGGACCAAAAATTTGATTGATCTTTTTTTAGGTAAAATGCAATGTACTTGTGTCTTGTCTCCACAAGGGGTCTTGTTGTATGTTAATGAAATTTATTTTGTTGCTTATCCAGACTTGGGAATCCCTGTGATAGATCCCTGTGATAGTACTCATACAATAATAATTTCAAGATTTTTTTCCTTCCAGCTGAAAATTTATTTTAAAACTTCCACTTATTTTCACTTCTTCCAATATGACTTGTGTCTTACTCCAAATCTGTAGGTAACTGTTTTCACAATTAATTCTATACAGTTTTATGATCTCATGAAATCTAAGGGCCGTGTAAGGTCACAAAGGTGAAAAAACAGCCAAGAAGTTATGTGCCATTTTCTGCTGAGTTGTATTCCCTATTTTTTTAGCTGGTTCAGAATTTAACATGAACTCTCTCTTAATTGTTAAATGCTACTTAGGAAGGGGTATAATTTGTGTAAAAAGTGGTAGTTGAACTATTTTGCATAATATTGAATCTATGCTTAAATACCCAGAGAGTGGGTTGGAAAAATAGGAGCCAGAGAGACTGTAATCAGAAAAAGTGAAATTGAATAAATTCCTAATTCATCTCAAGCTGCATTGAGTAAATAGTTCTGATTAATGCATGAATTATATTTCCTAGCATTTACTTTCATTGAATATGGCACAGCACTGATTTTTTTCAGTTTTTGTTAATCTCACTAATAGACAAATAGATCCACAGACTTAGACATTTTAGGGTATGTCTAGTTTTGAGAAATTTTCACTAGTGCTGTACTAGTGGTTTCCCTTCCTAGATTAAATATTTGTCATCACAGAATCACAGAATGATTTGGGTTGGAAGGGACCGTAAAGGTCAATTTGTTCCAGGCCCCCTGCCATCCAACCTGGCCTTGTCACTTCCAGGGATGGGACATCTACAGTTTCTCTGGGCAACCTGTTCTAGTGTTATCACTGCTGTCAGAGTGAAAAATTTCTAATATCTAATCTAAATCTACCCTCCTTCAGTTTAAATCCCTTTGTCTGCTCTTGTCAGAAGTTCCTCTTGAGCTCTTTTGTAGCCCCCTTTAGGTACTGGAAGGTGTTTTGAGGTCTGTCCAGGACCTCCTCTTCTGCTTGGTATTATTACTTAATATTAGTATTTGTACATATAACTAGATCCTATAAATACTCTTGTTAAGCTTTAGTTTGGGCAGAAAATTAATGTGTAAAAAGCAATTATGTGTTTATATACATCTCTTCAGTATGGTGGGACAGTTCTTTGTGCATTTTCTTTCCAAAGTCAATGAAGATTTATGTCATATGGCTTTTATTATGTTAGAGCCCAGCCCTGGAAGACATCTACCCCTTTGTGTTTATTTTATATTTTACATCCCAGCTTTTGCAAGACTGGGATGTTCTTATCAGCCAGAACTCTGCACTTGAGCATTGCAAGATAGCTGACATGTAAATTAGTGTTTTTTCCAGATATGCTGACCAGTGGCAGCTCTTAAGTGTAATTGATTTGTGTAATGAAATGCAGACAATCAGAATGCAAACTGGAATAATGCTTAGATGCAAGATTACTGCTGTAGATCAACTAATCTGCAGCACCTCTGCTCTAGGAGCAGCAGGAACCATTTTATGTTACTACAGTGACCTGTAATTAGCAGGTTTCTCTTGCTTCCCACCTCAGAAACTGTCCTTTGCTGCTGGCTGGGGGAGTGTGTACACAGCACGCAGGCTGTGCCTGATGTTTTGAGCACTGTGCCATCTGAATTGTCACAGGGATGATCAATAGTCCCCAGCTAATGTCCGACTTTGCTATTTATACCTGGAAGGCACTTTAGAAAGGAAAAGCCTTAAGGTCAAAGGATCTATAACAGAAGTGCCATCATCATTCATCTCCCAGACAGAGGTGGTGAGGTATCTGAGCTAGTGAGAATGTCTGAGTCAGTTCTCACCTGCTATTCCCTGCAGAGATCAGTTCCACAAAGCTGAAATACTTTAGCCTAACAGATACTATATGCACATTTTTTTTCCCTAAGATACTACTTTACTGTACTTTCTGCTGATTTTTGCTTTTAGTGTTCATCACTTGGAAAAAATTTTCCTAAGGAAAAGTGTTCCTAAAGACCTTTCTGTAAGGAATCTGATGTTTGCAGTAATAAATAATGTAAAATTGTATTTTAAAAAGTAACTGAAGAAGGTAAGGCAAAAAATTCGCAATGAAGTGCAAAATAAATCAAATCACTGTTTATGCTTTTTGTACAATAAATACAGATGGATTGTTTCCTCTAACAGGTATATGACTTATTTGTCAGTTCTGCTGGTGGTGCGTGCTCACTGTAGCTGTGTTCCACTGAAGCATAAATAATTCAAGTTCCTTTAGCAGCAGCGGCAAAAGGTCTTTTCTTTAAATTATTTATGTAGCATTTTATAATGCTTTGTGTTAAGTATACTATTGCTTCCCTCTGCTTGAAGCAACGAGGGTAAGGAATCAATTTGTTTAGAGTGGTGTTGGAAGCTCCCAGGAATTGCTGAGGGGAACTTTATTAACTTCCCTGATCCCAGACCTGCAGAGGAACAAACAATGTGCTGTACAGCGAGACTGATCTGCACCCAATGGGTTCCGGGACATCTCAGCTGAGCTTGGTATGGATTCAGAAGGATGGCTTTCAGTGAAGGGCTTGAAGTATTTGATTAAGTGGCACCACAGTGGTTCTTACCAGCTTTATCCAGGTAATGTATTTAGTGATTATATGATCTTTGTGCGTTCCTATGATTATGAGGAATGTGCTTAGTTTCTCACAACAATAAAAAGTATTTGTAGGCTGAAAAATGGATACAAAATACATACAAATGCATACAAAATAGCCTTATCATTTATTTTATTCAGGCTTATGGCTTTAGATTATCTAAACTAAAACTTCTGTAGCCATCCTATCCTGAATACGTTCAAGACTTAGTTGATTAAAGCCTGTATTTTCTTACATAATGCTGTTTTCTTAAAATAAATAAAACCAAGACCCTCCATGAAATGTGTAAACACAAAAAGTGCAAAACATTGTGTTTTGAGGATTTTTTGATAGTATTCTGTGTCAGTCCTGTATTTCCACAATATAATGAATGAAACTGAAGGAGTTTGCACTCAAAGTAGTTATTCCTCAGTAGGTATGGTTGCTATCAAGTAGAACAAAAATAAAGTTAGGTCCCTGGGATTTGAAATGTTTGATCAAGGAGCTTCCTTTTACAGGTAATACAAGATAAGTCAGTGCTTCCAGCAGTGATGACAGAGGAAGGCAGGCATTTGGAAACTTCCCAGAACTGCTGTATCCATGTTGTCCGTGCAGAGCTGGGATTTTTCACATTAAACTCTTCTGGCATCTTGAGATTCCCAACTGCTCCTTTTCTTTTTTAAAATGCTTTCAAGGAGAGGGAGGAGAAGTCCTCTTTGCCCAACAGGCCTGTGGTGAGAACATGTGAGGGTGGGAGTCAGGGCTCTGTGTTTCCTCTGATGATCATCACAGGAGGGCTCATCAGATGAAATATGTGACCAAGCTGGAAAGTTTCTCCACTCCTGCTTTCCAAGGTGGGCTGTGTGTACCTAGGAATGCATGAGCTGTGAGAGTCAGGAAACCTGATGCTGGAGCCTTACATTGGAAACATGCCTCTGCAAGAGGAGTGGAGCAGGAGCTGTGCCCTACACAGTTTTCATTTAAGTGTGATTTGGATAAATTGGGTACTAATGGTAGAGTCGGGGAGGTGTTTTTCCTTCTATCTGATTTTCTTTTTCTCCAGTTCTAAATGGTGTATCTTCACTAGGTTGTAACTGTTTTAATTGAACTGATGATCTGGGTAGTAAAAGAACTAGAATAACCAAGCCTTTTCTGGCAAACAACATTTTCTGTATTGTTTTCAGCTTGATGGGTACCACAGCAGAAAGCTCTACAGATTTTAAAAGTAAACTGACTTGAGTTTTTCATTAAGGGAAACCAAAGCTGTACCAGGGTTAAGTATAAATCGAAATACTTCTTTTTGGAAAAAGTCTGAATTACCTAAATTAAATCTACCACAACAGAGACAGTTTAGTGGGAATGAGTAATCCCTTAATGCTATGCTAACATATTGGAGGACTTGTGCTAGTAGTTCTTTGGTTGTTGGAAACAGAGTCTTATTTTGGTTCATTTATTTTCATGGGATCTCCAGAGTTAGGAGTGTATCCGAGGAGGGAGAACCCAGTACAGTTGAGAGGAGTGTAACTCCGAGGAGCTGGAGAGAGCAGGCAGCTGGTAGCAATTAAAGGCAGTTAGCAGTTACCCAGGTGTAAACACTGGAGGCTGTAATTGCAGTTTGGTTTCCCGGCTGCCATGGGGAAATTGAACGCCTGCCACTGGGAGGGAGGTGATGCTGATAATTGCTGTGCCTGCCACTTCCCAATCCCTTCTGGGTCCTAAGGCACTGTGACTCCGGCATCCAGAGCTGAGCACTTGCTATGGCTGCTCCCTAATTTCTCTCTGTCAGCCAAGCTGGTTTCAGGTGTTTGGTATGTGGGATGAGTTTGCCTTTCTGACTTTGCCTGAAAGGAACAAGGAAATTTTCATCATTCATCACTGGAGAACACCCCAGGAGTGAGGCATTATCTGAAACTGTTCCACATCTATCAAGAAGTGGGTGTCTATTTATATGCTGGACTCTAAAATAGAACATATCCACCTGTGGAGTTAAAGCAAAATACTACAGATAATAAAGTTAGATATTGTTCTCTTCAGATTCACATTAACTTCTTTCACAAAACTTTCACTCTGGTGATAGGTATTCTCTAATGAAGTTAACAGTTGACTTGGTTATGTTCTTTCGTATGTCTTAAAGGAAAAAGTGAATAAATATTTGTACAAGAAAATTTGGCATTATTTGCTGAGTGTTTGAAATTAGCCTTGATTAATATCGTGATTAGGTGATGACAGTTCTTTATAGAACTGATTTGTCACTAGTGTCCTTAAATAGTATCATTGTTGAAAATACAAAGTTACATTTTGTATTTCCCTCATCTAATTTTGTATCTTTGTCTTATTTTATTTTTGTCTTAAAAATAGCTTTGCGTGAAGAAACTCAGAATAGTTAACTGTTACATCTTAGTGAATATTTCTGAGCTAAGAATATGTTTGTTTAAAAATGAAATTTTGGAACTCTTAACATTTTTTTTCCTTACCTTTACAGTTATCTTTATCACTTTTTCCAATGCTTGTAACTGTTTTTGAATGGTGCATTTTTTCAAAGCTCTTACTTCCAGGGAGGAACAGTAATGTTTTGTAACATGAAGTTTGGAAATGCAGAGTGCTTTCAAATACTTCTAACATGAAAGGAGACCTTGGGAGAGCATATAAAGTAGGGTCTTTTTGGTGAAATTACTCATTGCTTTAGTTATTCTAAGTGATTAACTGAGGAAAACCATTAACATATCCCTTTGAAGCACAGTCCATTTCTGACTGGTTGTGAATTCAGTTTTCTCAAACAGATTGCATCTCTAGTGAGCTGCATACTTGCTTTTCCATTTGGCATAAAATTGCTGAATATACCATCTATTTAATTTGAGGGTATTATTTTCTCACATCTATTACTGCAAATTTTTCAAATAATCAAATGTCTGTGATTTTTTCATCTTCCTCAAAGAATCTCATTCAGTTTGGCATCTCTCTCTGTGCAACCTGTCCTGCTCCAAGCAGGGAGATCAGACCAGGTAGCTCAGGCTTTAGTTGTGTCTACACAGTGAATTAAACCTTACATAACCTCTCTCAAGTGTGCAGCTGTGAGTGAAGCACTACCACTTTTACATTTGTGTACACTGGAGGTGAAGGGATCATCCTGTAAAAGGGTGTGCAAGAAGTAAATGACAAATCTTTGAATAGAGCCCTGCTGTAAGCAGTCCCCTCTCTTAGTCAGAGCAGCCATTTGTTTCCCCTTTCTACTTCTGTGAACAAATGGTCACTTTGACACTTTGTGTGCCTATTTTGTTTACTGACATGACAGAGATGATCTGGGATTAATACTTGAAACTTTTGGCCTGCTACACAAGAGGGTTTTTTGGTGTTTTCCTGAATTCTCCATGGATTCTTGTTAATTTGTTTCTCAGAATAAAAAATCACTTCTGTTTTTTCAAGATCGAAAGAATCTGGTAATTTCTCATCTTGAGGTCTGTAGATGATATCAGTATGTTGGTTGAAGCCTTGAAGGGATCCCTATTTTTATCAGAAATCATAATAAATGGAGGATCTATGGTTTGATATCTCTTACTTCCTGTGAATGAGGAAGGTATCCCTTACTACTCATTTTCCTAACATGCTTTTCCACAATTGACTCCTCTGCTAAATTTTCAGTATTAGTGGGAATCTTGTATTTCCATGTAAAATTTCACAGATTGCCTGTCTACCAATTGAAGTGTATATGAAATTGTGCTGTCTCCTATCACCTAATAGGTTTTTGCCCACATTCCAGTGAACAGTGGGTTCTTGAAAGTCAACTTTCCTTGGATAATCTTCTGAAGGAGTGCAGTCCATAGTGTGAGAAATATAAAGAGGAAAATGTACTTGATTTTGTGCAAGAAGAAAACAGATTTTGTTTTGGGCCTGCCCCTTCTGCTTCTGTCAGGGAATTGCTGTTAAGAAGAAACCTGAGAGCTGTTTGGGGTGGTTTTTTCTATGCAGGTGCTCTTAGTAAAAATGGAGAGGGATATTTAAAAGTCTGCACCACTGAGAGCTTGCACAGGAGGTGTGATAAACCAAATAAACAATACTGAAGAGTAAAAGTGAATAATACTGTACTGACAGATGCAATTTCCTTTATTAACAGAGCTGAATAGCACTGAATTGAAAGACTGCATCAGTGAGAACAGCCTGAGTAGCAATGCCAGCCTTCCCAGCGTGCAGAGCTGCCGGCGCCTGCGAGAGCGGAGAGTTGCAAGCTGGGCTGTTTCCTTTGAGCGGCTTCTTCAGGACTCTGTTGGTGTTAAATATTTTTCGGTGAGTTTTGAGGGACAGTGAGAGGCTTTCCAAAATACCTGATATTGCTGCAGTAGTTTTCCTGTATTCTTTTTTTTTTTTTCTTGACACTCTTCTTGCACAGGACAAGAGACAGGAATTCGTTATCTGTTGTTATCTCTGTTGTTATCTCTGTTGTTATCTGAGCATCTTTCTGAGTTTACACAGTTGAGTAAGAGTTCACAGTAATACTCAGATTGCCATGCATCTCTGCATAGCAGAAGTTTCAGGTGAAAATGGAAGCTGTATTTGGCTTTGTCTGGGAACTTCTAGAATGCTTCCCCCTTTTGCAAAATGGTTTATTTTTTTTTGGATCTATAGCCTTTGTACAAAAAGAAGGAAGTACTTTTGGTTGTTTCCTAAGAATGGGTTGTTATTTATATCTATCTCCTGAAACATTGGAAGCCACATAGAAGACGTTTTCAATGATAGAGTGGCTTATTTTCCTCCAAAAGGTTTTTAGAAATACTTTTTGGAAATTGTTATGGTAGTTAAGAGCACTGGTTAAAACTGCAACTTCAAGAAGTAATGTTGAGTATTTGCAAAGTATTTTATGGTATACATAAATACTGTTCTGCACTGCACATTTATGAAGTTGTAAATAGCATCACCTCTATTTTGCAAGGAAACTGAGGGTGTATATTTTTGCTTTGTTGCACTGAGAGTGTGTTGCTGATTCTGAATGTGTTACACAGGGACAGTTTGTGCTGCCCAGGTAATTTTCACAGTGAGAATATAATGAAACGTGGCATAGGGGAGGTAGATTTTTGGAATCTGCACTAACTCAGAAAGACTCTTTTGCTTGATACAAAAGTATTAAGAGAAAACAATGGTTAATAAGGAGATTTCCACATTAACTGGTGGGGGAACCCAAAACCTGCATTAACAGTAAACATCTATTTGTGGAAAGAGAGAAGAGGAAAGCAAAATAATATATTCTGAATACTGTGTTCTTTAGTTTAGCAGAGCAGTCTGAGACTTAATAGCATTTCTGCTTTCATACTGAGACTTCTTGTCAGGCTGGAAAAAAAGTTACAGCTCTGATCTGATGTTAGAATCCATCTGAAAAATGATGTAGTTCATGGGGCTCCTACTGAAAGTCCAATTGACTTAGTTCTAATTACTTGTAAACCTCTGGTAAACTTGTGTACACTTAGGAAATTGCTGTATTAAATTTTTATCTGCTATGATACTTCAAAACTCACATTATAAATGTCAAAAGTAGCCCATATAATTTTAATCAATGTTCAGATTAAAAGGTTAAAGGTACACTTCATTTCAGCAAAAGCCAACCTCAAATATTCTGAAAGTTTTACTTTCCCCATTTTATTCTAATTAGAACTTCTTTTTATAAATATTGCAAAAGCACATGTCTTAAAGAAATACCAACTTTGAAAAACCATTAGGGAATGTTAAAGTTGTATGCACCACCATTTTCTTGAGGCCCAGGAGATGTCCAGGGGGTTGCTTAGATTTTTTAACCTGGTTGCCATAACACAGTACAGTTACAGATTGCTGCCAGTATCCAGGAACATCGAGGCACCAGCATTTGATTTATGGTCCCATAGCAAGTGTCTTGGTGCATGTGGGATCCAGCATCTGCCTTTGCTGAGGACAGCTTTGTCACAGAGCAGGAATTACTCTCCAAGAAGGAGAGATTTTGCATGTTTTGCAAATACTCACACTTTGCATAATAGCTGCTGCTTAGAGCAGTCAGCCAGGAGGTGAGAGCTGTTTGCAGGTTTCCCCTTCAAGGGGTTCAGCCCAACCTCTGCAGCTCCCAGCCGTGGGTGACAGCTGCTCGGCTGCCTGATGTTCCAGCTGGGCCAGCACTCAGCCCTCCTGGTGGAGCTGAGTTGTTGGACAGCCAGCTGTGCCCAAATCCTGCGGCCACAAGGAAGCAAGAGCAAGATGGACTCTGGGCTCACAGGGAATGTGCCAAGGGGGAAGTAGGCGGTTGTTCACTAATTTGGTTCTCTTAATATGTAATTAGATGTAAAGTGCAGAAATGTTCTCCTGAGTACTCTATGTATTGTTCTTTATGTGTTTGGTGTCTCAGCTTATGTATCTGATAGGACTTTAAATTCAGAGCTTCCCTGTATTGTAGTTTATCTCAATTGCTTTCATACAGCTGGACTCCCTAAACTCTATGTAAATCTGAAAATCATAAATAAACTTTATTTCTGTGGAGATTCTTCTTTCTGAGGCTGCTTTGTACGATAAGGAATCTTCACTGATACCCATGTGATGATTAGGTGAAGGTTATGGTGGATCAAGTTTTTTGTTTTTTTTTTTAATATCTTTATTTTGCCCTGATGGTTAAAATGCTTTTAAGATGCTGAGAGAATATTGAATTATACAGATTTGGTATGGGATAGTTTATGCTTGTAGAGTTTTCCAGCTGAATCAGTACCAGTGTTCTTTTGGATTTAGGATGCTGTAATATAAATGTCCTGATTATTGTGTGTTGTACTGGGTGATACTTTTTTTCCTTTCAGTGAGTATTTTCTAAAGAGAAACCATGTAACCACAGTGAACAATTATAATTTTTTTTTATAGCTGCCATGTGATACAAAAAGACTAATGAATCCAGGATTGATTATGGGCACTTCTTAATAAATATCTATATCAGTAGAACTGCATTTAAAGACAGTGTCACTTTTAAATCTAGTTTATAAACTACTTAAATTTTTATTAAAAATTTATTCACCAGTTTATGCACTACTTAGCATGACATTTCAAACTTTGTACTTGCAAATGATTTCATGTTAACTTCATGTATTCTTCTTAGTTATATACATTTGAAAAGACACAAGAAAGAGGGGGAGCACCAGGTATGTATTGGACATACATTGATTTTTATTTTAGAAAAAAACTGGATTGTGAGACTGATTGCAAACTTATATTTATGCAAACTTTCCAAGCATTATATATATGTTGTTTAAGCTGGCAAGTAATTTTCTTTGAGACATTGATTTATTTGCTTATTTTTTCCCCTAGGAATTTCTACGGAAAGAATTTAGTGAAGAAAATATTTTATTTTGGCAGGCCTGTGAATATTTTAACCATGTACCTGCACATGATAAAAAAGAGGTAAGTTAATTTCAGTACCTTGTGCTGCTTCTTCAGAAATCATTACTCCTTCAAGATTATTGAAATTAATGGAGCTGTGCTTGGTCTGTCTACTGTGATATCACTAAAACAGGGTGGGATGACCTAACTTTAAGATGTTGGATATGTTTAAAGTGCAGAGTTAGCTCTGTAAGAATGAGGCAAGGTATCCTGGATGTTGCAAATGGCCAGCAGTGGTAGCCCAGTGCATGGAAGTGCAGGGCAAATTAATTGACCATGTCAAGGAGAGGCCTCTTCAACTCTTTTGGCTAGACTGCCTCCACCAACCAAGGCTGTTTCTAAATAACTTAATTATCTGCTGCTCCAAGGGTAGGGCTCTCATGTTTGTTCACAGATTATGAGACTCTCCATCTCATCCTTTTGAGGGAATCCTACATTGGTCAGGCAGTTTGGATGAAATTTGAACTTTGTACAGGTTGGCAACACTTCTGTCTACACCACAGCCAAATCCAGTCAGATTTATGTGGTGGAAACAGTCTCTCTTCCAAGTCTATCTTAACTCTTTTGTCTGCTAATGAGGTTTTTTATTTCTACTTTCTTCTGTCTTCAAACACTGTATTTTTCTGAACACCACCCTTAAGGGCTGTGGGCTTACCTTGGTGGGTTTTTCATTATTTTTGTGATGTGGATGTTTCAAAGTAAACAAGTTAAAAATGAGTGGTTTTGACTGTAAATATTCATATATATACTTGTCTTTTTCTCACTTCTAGAAATTGAATCTTAGAGGATGTATTTAAATAGTAGCTATTATGTAAAAGGTCTAAAGTCTTAAAAGAATCTACTCTTCTTTTTAAAAAATACCTGCTGTGCTTCACTGCTTGATTATTTTAATTTTTATTTGGAAGACAACTTTTACTGTTCAAGAAATATTTGATGAATATTTGTAATCACAAAGAAAAAAAAACTTTTTATGTGCTTAAACTCCCAAAAGCTGATATATGAAAAATACATATATAAAAGATTCAGGAGTGGCTATCTATTTTTGGGTGAAATATATCAGTGTAAGAAATGCCTATCTAAAAATAGTGTTTTAAAACCAACATATATTTAGCCTTTTTTTTTTCTGTAGCTTTCTTACAGGGCTCGAGAGATCTTCAGTAAGTTCTTGTGTAGCAAAGCTACAACCCCAGTTAATATTGACAGCCAGGCACAGCTGGCAGATGATATTCTCAATTCTCCCCATCCAGATATGTTCAAGGAACAGCAACTTCAGGTAACCATAGTAACCATGAATGCTCTATGTTTATGTCTGTTATCTTTTTCTTTCTAAACTATAAAAATAGTTTTACATGCTGTATATTTTAAACTCTGGTAGGAGAATAGAGAAAAGGCTGCTTGGCTGTTTTTCTGTTATGTGGAGAGACAATTTTCACTTAACTAAAAAATAATCTGAAAAGTACTATTATTGAAATGAGGCTTCAGTGCAAGTAAATAATTCCATGTGTTGCAGCACCATTGCATAGAGTGTTTGCATATGGCTGATTTCTTTTCTTTAGTGGAGAGTTGAGTACACAAATAGTGTCTAATTTTGGGTTTTAAAATGTCAGTTTTATAAAGGGAGTTGTTCTCTTGTGCTTTAGTACTACTGTCAGGGTAAGAGATTTTAGAAGTATTGGAGTCTAAAAACCTCTGAAGTGGATGTATTTTAAATAATTATTGATAATCAGAACAGTTATGCAACAACAGGATACACTTTACATTTCCTGTAGAATTTAAGTTTCTAGTTTTTTGGGGTTTTTTTTAAGTCATCTCTTTGGTAGCTCTTCCACCCTACCAATTAATTAGTAAAAGAGGTTTTGATATAATTTTGAAATCAAGGCTATAGCTTTAATATGAACCAGGTCACAATCTTAGGACACAATCTCAGACCATGTGCTTTGGGGCACTCTGAGCAGCAGGGTATAGTGTCATCCTCCTGCAAAGTGGAGATAGAAGGGTAGGTCTGACTGCTGGTCTGGTAGCTTCCAGCACTATAGCTACTCCTTATGCACCTCCCAAGCCTGAGCCTTCTGTGGGAATTACCAGTCACCACCTTACCAGACATTTTTTAATGCATTTGTCATCCTGGTGTTGTGGAGACTATGCCTGAATTCCTCCTTATCCTCTCCCATTTGTTTGGTGAAGTACAAGATGTCCTCATGAGTCAGGTGACAGGGTTGATGCAGGTTTTGTCCCTTTGGAAATCCTGTATCCTTGGTAGGAGGGCTCATGATGCAGGAGAAAATGCTCAGAAGTCCTGTTATGGGTGCAGTCCCAGCCACACAGCCTGTCTGTGCCTGACCTCTTATCTCAAACTCTCAGTGCCTCAGTCAGATCCCTCAGTCAGACCCATTCCTGTCTGGATGAGAGTGACCTCTGCTGCAGGAAATGGCCTTGGAGCTTGTCTGGGTGCTGGTGGTGTGTTGCCTGCCTGAGGTCAGTGCTGGGGAATCAGCTGCTTGGTGGCCCTTAATTTCTTGGTGTCAGCGAGTGGTTCTAGAGGCCAGTTTGTGGTCTTGGTGGATGGCACCGCTTGAGAACACACAGCTGTGGGTTGTGCAGTTACTGCAACACACCCACAAATCTCAAAGTTCAGCTCGTGGTGGTGACACAACCTTAATAAAGTGAGAGCTCTGCATTTGTGGTCTTTCACAAGATTTTTTAGATTTGAACAGCAACCACAGAGTGCAAGGGTGCTGCTTTGTGGTGGTTGTTGGATGAATGTGATGCTGGGGAACGGGGAGTGTTGCTGTAAGGCTCCAGAGGAGTGGCAGAAGTGTGTGGGAAAGTGCGTTGGAAATGCTTTCAGGCCATTCTCTTTCAAGCACTGCCTGTTTGGAATACCCTTGGAAATTGCTTTCTGCCATGTCCTGACAAATTTGTCCGTGATCTTGTTGTTAGAGTTTGTCATAACAGTGTGGATGCACCCAAAGCACCTAGTTAGGATGTTGTTCCTTTTTGTAAATTGAATGAGAACAAGCATTTTCAGTGTTTCTGGATGGAAGATAGTGTAGGTCACTTGAACATACTAAAATAAGAATAATATAGCATGTACTTTATGTAGAGTTGATAATGGATGTAAGTTTTTCTACTCTTGTTTATCTGAAAATTTCAAATTATGCTTTTAAAATATGTTTTTAATTTGTAAGGACAAGAACTAGCATCTGCTAGCCTTTTCTCAATAAGCAGAAATCATTAAGATATGTAAATATGATAATACTTCTAAATATAGCGAATCATGCCTGTATGTGGGCTAGAAACATGGGGCAGATGATAATCAGCTCAAGGTAAATTAGTTACCCTGTCACGATTCTGTCCAGCTAAGTTAAAAGGTTGCAATTTTTTTGCTGTATTAAGTATGTTTAATTTGCAGACTGTCAAAGCTAGCATATAGAGAAGTATTTTTCTGTAGCTTACCATGTGAAAAACAATTCATTAAAAGGCCCAACAAAGATGACAGGCAGCACCTAAGCAGGAATGGGAATATACCGAGGGGAAAGTCAAAACCATGGAAGTTGGCATTCAGTTTGAGTTAAGTTTCTGTGACTCTGCAGGATCAAGTTCTCTCTGCTCTATTGTGCTGTTTACAAGATAAGTTTTGGGCTAAAGCCTGTTGAGAAGGGTGTGTCTGCACAGTCTGAAGCGTGGTTTCCATCTGCAAATGGGCCACTCAGTCTCAGTGATGGACTTTCCTTTATACTCTTGGGAATGCCATAACCTGCTGGGTGGTGCCCACCTTCCTTTGCTTGTGAGGAATTTGTCATGTCCAAAGAAGTAGCTATTCAAACTGTTTCTGCAGATCAGCTGAAACATGGGAGAAGATACTGGGCTAAAAGTATGGATTAACTTAAAACAGCACGTTTGCAAAAATGGAACTAAAATTTAAACATTATTTAGCATTTAAGACAAAGCTCTTCTTCACTTTCATAAATCGCGCTTCAGTTAAATCAGCCTCAGATATTTATACCAGGCCTGGTCTAGAGCTACTTTCTTCCTCTGTGGTTAAAGATAAATGTTGGTCATTTAATGTAAACTGTTCTCTTTCAAGATCTACCGCACCTTGGTTATTGAATTGTCCAGAGATACTGATGGGTTTTTTCCTTATCATTGGGCACATGACTGTGGTTTTCTGTTAACACATGTCAGTTCTGGGTTAATGACATGATGATCTTAGAGGTCTTTTCCAGCCTAAATGATTCTGTGACTCTGTGAGCATTAAATATTCTGTGAAGGACTCCCAGCTTCTTCTCAGATCAGCACTTAAATTTGTGTCTTGTATCATTGTGTATTATTCCATATTGTGATTATATCATATTTGTGTGTTTTAGAACGTAAACTTCTTGTTCACAGCCACCTTAAAACATACTTGAATAACTTAATGCTGTCACATATAGTGCTAGTGTAATAACCTTTAAAATGCATGCTCCACACAGAATGGCATCAATGCAGTAAAAGAGGATGCTGTTGTCAAGACTCTACAGCATCTCAGCTTGCAGTTTGCACAAATCATAACTTATTTTCCAAACCTATAATGATGGAATAGATCAAATTATGTTTCACTTTAAAATGGGTGCAGTGTATCTAGCCAGGTCTAAACAATGTCATACCTATGCTGTTTACATCCTGATGTCTTAAATTTTGTGTGAGTTTCCTATTGCAAAGTAGCTTAATTTTCTTGGTGTGTTACTGGAATGAATGTAACCATTATCCACTGCCATTTAATTTCAGATATTTAACTTGATGAAGTTTGATAGCTATACTCGCTTCCTCAAATCCCCTCTTTACCAAGAATGCATCTTAGCTGAAGTGGAAGGACGTCCTCTTCCTGATCCTCAGCGTGTTCCCAGCAGCCCTACTTCTAAACACAGTGTCAGTTCAGAGAAGTCCAACATGTCAACACCAAAAAAGGTGACTTTTGCATTGTTGTTATCTGAAAACTGTGTTTTTAAATAATCTTTTTAAAGCTCTTCAGAAAATCAAAAATATTATATATAATAAAATGAAAACATGGTTAGAGATGCTGGCAAATACAATTGCAAATTTTTTGTATACTCAGGAATGTACTTATTTTTTTATCCTTGCCTCTAAATCAGTTTTGTAGATATTGAATTGCTGAATATAATTTAAAATCTTCATTGTTATTTAACTGTACAAATGAAAAGTAAGGGTTATTTTGTTAATGCACCAGTTCAGAAGCTTATTTTGGTTGACTATGGGAATTAAGATGGGATAATTTAACCTTTGCTGAGAGGAGACATTTTATCAGAAGTTTTGGAGAAGGCTTAACCCAAACCAACTCATTTTGGCAGAGGGTAGTTTTTAATTTCTTAGCTCCTAGTAAACTAAGATACCTCTGTGTTAAATAAGTACAGCTGTTTAAAAATTAGACCAGTAGTCTAATCCCTTGACTTTATTTAGGGTTTATTTTTTCTTCTTGTAGATAATACCCCCATAGCATTACATAACTGTATGGGTAAATGATAACTTCTCATTTTTCATGTCAATCACTACAGATTACCCTATCTGCCATAATGTATTCTTATGACTAGGAGACTTTAAAAAGTAGCATTTCAAGGAATATTCTAATAATCTAACAAGAATACTAGCTTGTTAAAAGCAAGTTTAGTTTAATATCAAACATTCCTGACATCTGTATTCTTCAACTCTAATAAATACTTGATTATACTTGTAAATGTTAAACAGTACTTTATCATTGTCTTTGAACGCTGTTCATGTTCAAGCCTAGCCTAGGAAAAATACCAAAGTGAAATTCAGTGTTTTAAAAGCAAGGCAAATGGCCTTTCCACATTAACTTAGGCATTACTGGTGAGCTGGGGACAGTTCTTTCGTATTTACTGGAGCTCTCCATGGCTCATTTCCAGCTACTGTTTTGAACTCTCTACCAAGTAGCACATTTCCATCTCTGTATTTCTCTCTTTTTGCCACTGGTGAGGATTTTTGGGTTTTTTTTAATTGCTGCTGAGAGGGATGTTGGCACAGACACTTGTGCGTGGGGTAAAGGAGGCAGCTAACCTGGCCAGAACACTCTTGTTTTAGGAAGTAGTGTGGGAAGGTTTATTTTAGACAATATACTCACACCTGTGATCCAACCAGTGATTTAATTGTGTTTTGGTGATAGCTAAGTGGTAAGTCAAAGTCAGGAAGATCTTTAAATGAAGAGTCAGGAGAGGAGGACACTGAGAAGAAAAAAAGGGGAACATTCTTCTCATGGTCAAGAAGTAAGAGTTTGGGAAAATCACAGAAGAGAAGAGAAAATGGTGATTATCCAAACGGTGAGTGTCACATTCTGCTTTGTTTCAAGCTTGTTTCAGCAATAGATATGACTAATCTCACCATGATTAGATGCTACCTAAGTGCATTCTTGGGAGTAACAGAGGAAAAGAACTGTCAAGTCAGAAGGCCATAGTGTGGCTGGTATTGCTGCAGTTTTGTGGAAGATGTACAAGTAAATAGATGAAAATATGACAATATTTAAATATGTTTTTACTGACTTTCACAAGACTCTTTTTCTACGTTTTGGAACATTCTGCCTTTTTATGTGCTGGTAATTGCTCTTTCAAGCAGAGAGCTGCTATTTTTATAGAAAGATAATTTAAAATCTTTACAGAAAAGTCCAAGAGCTGTACAGCAAATAGTGCTATAGTTACAGCTATATAAATATTCCTCCATCTGCATTATCCTACTCTTCTTTCTTTTATCAGTAGCACCCAGGTATGTTCACATTTGAACAGTCACCATCTGTTTTCGCCTTCCCTGACTAAAATGAAAAAGGAAAATCAGAGGTGTGAAAGCCCTTGTAACCTGCTGTTTTGTTACTTAATTGTGTTTGAGAGTTTAAGGAAGAGTTCCCTTATGAAAGCCCCTGTATGTGGACTCTAGAGGAGACAAAAGTTTTGCAGTAAATTATTCTGTTGAGTTGAAAATAATGAAGAAATTCCAGTGAAGCGCCAAATTTGGTCCATATTTGATAATGTAGTTTTTGCTTCTGGTAAATGCCCAGACCCACAAGATACATTTGATAAGGATAATTTGGGTGTTCTTATTATATTTATATGTAAAAAGACATCAGAGGTATTTGCTGAGATCATGGACATAACCTTCTGAACTAGTAATTGTCTTAAATATTTTTAAATGTGCAAGTATGGTGTTAGAATACTAAAATCTATCTCCCTTGAGAATATCTGAAGAGGTAGAATAATTTTTTTAAGATGAAATATTAAAATCTTGTTAAATCTAGTTAACAAAACTAATATATTTTTTTAAATATATATTTTTTAAATATAAAAACAAGTGGGTTTATTCAGGGGTTACATAACCAAGAAGCACTTGACCAAAAGTTGCTTTGGTTTCCATGCTTCTATGCACAGTATGAAGATTTGGTGGTATTTTTAAATGAAAAAAGAAAAATTTGTGACCCAACAAGCTAATATTTGAAATGGTGTTCTGTATTATAATAAACAATAAATTTATTATTTTACTGATTGCTGATTCTTTGCCCAAACAGATTCTTTTCAGTCCAATGGATTGTCGTACAGACGGGAATCACAAGGCTCCATGTCATCCACTGCTAGTCTTGACTTGGTAAATGGCTGCCTCTTACTAATGAACCAGTGGGGGAGCAGATGAAACAGTCAATTATTGATTTTCTAAGTACTGTGATGTAGCTTGTTTGATATAATCCCTTGGGAAAGGGTTTTTAAGTGATACAGCTGAAGCACAATGTAATATTAGGCAATTTTAGCTTGTTAGAAATGCAGTAGAGGTTGTATTCATATATTACTTCTTATGCTATCCTTGGATATGTTTTGCATCTTGTCTGTCTTAACATCATGCACCAGTGAACTACAGAAGAAAGTTTCCCTTTTAAAGATTGTAGCTCTTTAAAACCAGTTTGTTCTACCTGCATAGATGATAATCTGTTTTAAACAACCACAAGTTAAAGCTTTTCCTCTTCTTGGCCTATGCAATAAGGGGGATGCAAGTTGCATTAGGTTGATTTTGTTGTGCCAGTGTCTCTGGTGCTTCTTCTCCGTCTGTTTCTTTTAAGTTATGTGTTCTTGTCATTATGACTTGGTCCTAAAAACCTGAGAAGTTTGTTGTGAACACTTTGTCATGCTAAGAAATTAACAAGTGAAGACACTGTGATTTCTAACCATTAAGTTCTGCCTTCACAGTGTAAAACTAATGAGGTGCAAAATTAAAACAGTATTAATAAAACATAGATGTAATACTTTATCTTTGTTGATATAGAGAAAGACTCTAAAAAAAAGGAAATTTAGAAGTTTTTTTGGGCTTTTGATATCCCTTAGATAGACTAGATTCTGTGAAATTAACCATTAACTAATAATTGTGGTTTTTATCTATGCTAAAAACATTGATCAGGGAAACAAGCACGGTGAAGTCATGTTTATTTCTGTTGCAGAAAAGTCTTGTCTTAAAAAATAGAAAATGCAAAGCCTGCCTAAAGCAACAACCCCTCATTTCTCTCCCACTCCCACCTGATTTAAGTCAGAAAGACACTGTGATTTGAATGAGAAGCACCAAGTTAAAGAAAAGAGAAAAAGCATGATGAGTACCCTAAAAGGCTGTCAAAACCAGGATTTTTTAGTGTCCTTTTAAGTTTTAAGTGAGCTTTTTGTTAAATTTTCAAAGATACTTCTGATATTTAGTTGTAGTGTTATTCTACAGTTACTCTAGAATAAAGGTTAGTGCCTAGCCCATAGCATTGCAGTTCTAATTCCCTTTAACAGAAAAAATAATGGTCATGAAGCAAATAATTTGAAATTTTAATTTCTTTGTGGTGTATTTGTGCATAGAATTTCTATTTTGTTAAACGAAGAAGAAATTTTGAGAGGAAAGACTGAGGAACCTGGTATTTAAAGGCATTAATCTTCACTTAAATATTGATTCATAAGGTGCTAATGGTAATTTTTACATCAGCAGGACATTACTGAACACAGACATTTAACTATTTGGTTGCTTAAGATTTAATTAACTTATAGTTTTTACTTAGTATTTCTTTAGTAAATCTTTTAACTGTTTTACACACTCACTGTGAAAAAATTCATCTGTTCTTGAAATAAATGTAGATATTTGCAGTATTATGATCTTTATCCAAATTTATTTCCCCCAGGATTTAAATTTATATGATATTTGTGGTATTTGGAAGGATTTCTAAAGCATGGTAGAAAGTACAGTTCTTGGCTTGGTTCAATCTGTGCGGGCTCTAAAAGTTTATACCCAGTCCTCATTTTCCCATTGGTCACTGACCTTTCTTTTTCCTTTCAAGTCTGAAACCTCAAGATTGCCTGCATTTGTGCCAGAGAAAGACAAATCCCCCAAGTACTGCTGTGTAAACCTTCCGGATGGCTCCTCGAGCAAAATGGCCGTGAAATCGGGGTTCTCCATCAAGGAGGTGCTCTCTGGGGTCTGTGAGAAGCATGGCATCAACATAGCTGCAGTGGACCTGTTCCTAGTTGGAGGTGATAAGGTACTGCATCTTCCTGAGCTTTTTTGGAAGCATTTTCCTCCCCATTTTACAAATAAGGAATTCTGTTCTGTCCATACGGACTTGTATCTCCTGGTTCTGCCCATAGCTTTACGTTGGCAGTGCTGGTAAATTAAAGGAGAATTGAATTATCCACAAAGAAAACAAATGTCTGGTAGTAGATGTATTAAAGCCCAAAAACATAGTGACATTCAGCTATTCAGGGATGAATGAGATGCATTAATGCTAGAGATGAGGTACAGGTTTTAATATTGAGGAAAATTTCCAAGACAACAATCTGTGGGGATGATGCAGTGTGTGTGTGATGGCTCTTAGTCCAAGAGAAGTATTCTCCAATTCAAAGAGAAGTTGTGAACATGAAGTATTTATTCTCTTAAATTCATGCTTTTGATCCATCTAGATGATTACAATGACAAAAATCAATGAATTTAAAAAAAGGCCCATAGTTATGGGCTCTTTATTTTAAAGCTTTTAAAGATTGTTAGCTGGCTGTATTTTCTAATGCATTATTCTATGTAATTTATAGGAGTTGAAGAATCTAGGTTTGTTGTAAAAACCAAGTTCCTGAATACCTGCTGACTCCAGTGGAAATTGAATTTGGGTCATTGTTACACACTTAGCCAAAAGTAAACACACTTTAATCGTGTTCCATATCATAAAGGAGCAGTCACTAGAATGAGTGCAGCATATGTTAATAATATGCTGAGTTACCTTAAAAAAATTTAACAGCACAGCTGCTCTTTTTTACATAGTTTAAAATTAATTTGCTCTCTCTTCTTTTATCCCTGACATGTTCTGTAGCCCCTGGTATTGCACCAGGACAGCAGCATCCTGGAGTCTCGGGACCTGCGCTTAGAAAAACGCACTTTATTTCGGTAAGAGTCAAAAGTAATGTCTTCCTCTGGCCTTTCCCACCCTGTTTTTCATTTCACTTTTTATAAGTGCAGTAAAGGATAAGTTGCCAGTTACCTGTGCAGTGAAACAGGAGGCTGTGCATCTGCAGGAGGGGGCTTTCTGGATCGCTCTTAGGACACCAGTGGGATTTTGATGCCAGTGTTTCAGTTTAGGGACGTTTAAATATTTTTGTGATGTCAAAATGCTCAAGCTGAGGCAGCTGTGAAAGCATTGGGCAGAGCTGTGGGCCCAAAGGGACCTTCCACATCAGAAAGAGACTTGTTTAGTAGGTTGGAATAGCCCAAGAAAGGTGTGGAAGTTGAACTGTGAGTCTCCTAGTCTTAAAATTAAATGGATATATTTATTGATGACATGTTCCCAGCCAGTTATAGCTGTATCTATATGCCCACCTGAAGCATTACAGTAAGACTAGTTGTATAAATAAAATTCCTCTGATGAACCCTGAATCTTAAACAAGTCAATGTTAAATTATTAGTATGGATATAATATAATGCAGTACACAACATATTTAGTTTTATGTAATGTATCTGATAGCATGTGGGTTTTTTTTCAAAACATTTGTGTTTTTTTCCAAACTAATGCTATGAAAACACCTGAAATAATTATTTCAGGAAAAAGTATTGAAGTAAAATATATCACATTACTGTCCCGGACTTTTGAGGTGAATGAAGTTTATTTTGTCAGGCATTCCTTAATTTGGGTCTATATTACTTTTCCTTAGGAAGCTGGACTAGTTTCTATTTAAAGGTACTTCAAGTTAATAAATACTGCATAGCATATTCAATTTTTAAATTGACATTGAGCAGTCTTTTATTAGGTGTGAGCTTGTTGAGTCTCCAAGTTAAAAAGGAACTTTAAGTAGGCAGTACCATATGTTATTTGTGTGTTAATTAAAATGCAGAAATGTTCTGCGTTATTCCATTATCTGGGTAGATGCTATGTAAGCAAATATAGTCAAATATTTGGAACATTTTCAGACAAAGGAGAAATACTATGTGGGTATACTTAGTTACCTCAGTGTTTGCCACTTCTGAATCAATTACCATCTAATGATTAAATTTAGTAACTGCTGTATTCAAAGAAAATATGAAAGACAAAGTTTCAGTTATTCTGGCTTCTTGTGGAAGAGAAAAGTCAACATGACTAAACATCTTGTATTTAAGTAATTTTTGTGAGGTAAAACATGAGTTTTGTATTTAATTGTGACTGAAAAATTTACTGATAATAGTAATATCTGATGATGATGTACATTTCTTCTGATTGTTTTGTTAGTAATAAGCTTGTCCTTGACTTCGTACTGTAGTACTATTGCAGTCAAATGAGGCTTATGGAGGATTCAGGGCACAGATGAAGAGAATTTAAAAAAAGTCAAAACCAAACCAAAGCTAGGCACAGCTCTGTGCAGGGAAATAGATGCTAACGAAAGTTGTTTGGGTTTAATTTTTTTTAAAAAAATAGTATTTTGTTATTATTTTGCTGTTTTAACACTGCAAAATTGTAAAATTGGCTCTGAAGAGAGCTGTCTTTAACCTGTAAATTCTAAGTCAATTACTTTTTCAGCTGTGGTATATAAGTTTCTCTTATACCAATATTTCATCATATGGTGGCACCAACCCTAAAGAAGTAGCATCATCTGGAATTCCACTGTGTTTGTTAGTGTGATTAAAAATTAAAATACTTTTCCAAACCCAAATCTCATGTAATTGCATAAGAAGTTGTGAATCTGTCTTGTGGAACTGAGAAGAAATATTTTTCTTGCATCCATGTCTATAGTTCAGGCATGGAGTCACTTTGGAAGGACTCCTGGACCAAACTGGTCAGAGAAATCTCCCTGTAAATATGGGAGTGCTGTGGAATGCATTTCCTTGGTCGGAAATAGACTGGCTCAGGCCTTCACTCTGCTCTGCCAAGTGAAACAGTACAATTTTTATTTGTGTTAAATATAAGTAATAATAAATATAATAATAAAGAAATAAAAATAAAATAATACATTCTTTGTCATTTCAGTTTAGCATACATTCATGCTACTTCAGTTCCAGCTAGTTACTAGGTGTAAATTGGTACAACCATGTTGTGGATTGGATTTTACATATTTCTGTTCACTTTATTTACTAGAATATTTCACACTTGATGTTACAATTGCTGTGTTTCAGGCTGGATCTTGTTCCTATCAATCGGTCAGTTGGTCTGAAGGCGAAACCCACCAAACCAGTAACAGAGGTCTTAAGGCCTGTTGTTGCAAAATATGGTTTAAATCTTAATGAACTTGTGGCAAGACTAGTAAGTATTCTTTGATGTAATTCAAGCAGCAATATTTTCTGTCTGGAGAAGATCATATGATAGTCCCTGGAATGATTCCTCTCCTGGGAATTAGGCATTTAAATAGCTACAGCTACATTTTGAGATAAAATGCATTGTAATTATAACCATTAGGCTTAGTAGTAGTAACCTCAAATATTCAGTTTATGTCTGTTTATATTCTCTTCAGAATAAATCCAACATCCAAAATAAGCAAGCCTGAACTTTTCTTCTTCGAGAGCTCAACTCCCATTATTACCAGGGAAAATTTGGTTGGATTAAAGCTTTTGTTCCATTGTCCTGGGAATCATGAAAGTTGCCACAAATCCCCTTGCAGAAATATTTTGTGAAAGCAGACTGATTCAACTTCTCTACTACTGAACTCTTGGCTAGCATGTTCTCTTTTCTATTGTGCTGGAATACCTAGGAATGTAAAGTTAATTTTGTGGTGTTTCTAGTATGTGTGCTCTCTTAGCTGAACCAATCCAAGTTTTTAAGATAACTGAAAAGCCTGTTGGCATAGAGGTAACTTTATTTAATGAAATTACAAAATTAACAAACTACAATCAATTTAGAATAAAAATAATCTGAAGTGTCCTCTGAAAAACATGACTTGCTGAACATACACACTAATGGTGCTAGAGTTGAGCACACTTACAAACTGGAGGATTTTTTTTTTCTCCATGTATTTTTTTTTCCCCAATTACCATTCTTCTCACAGAATAGGACTACACTCATTGAAATCTAGGCAGTTTTACACTACTGGAATAAACATTTTTAGAATGGTAGAAGAATACATTGAAGCTACTCTGAAGCATAAAAATGCTTTGCTTTTTTTCTTTCAAAAATGTCAGACTGCATAAATTTGTTCTGAAAACAGCTTTTTCTCTATTACATACAAACTGTGATCCGACTTTAGAGTGGTGAGCAGGAGCCCCTTGATCTTGGTGTCCCTATATCTAATCTGGATGGTCAACGGGTTGTTCTAGATGAAAAAGAGCCAACAAAGGGTAGAGGTAAGTTTGTATCAAAGCTTTTGTTTATGGTTCCAAGTCAGTTTTATAAACCCTGACTATGGCTAGTTTTTCCTGTTGCTGTCAAGGTGAGGTAAATGTGATTAAATATATATATATGACACGTGGCATAAATTCTTTTTAACTAAAAAGTAGTGCAACGTCTGAAGATGGAAGATTAATTTAATCTGTGATAGGTACTTTTACTGTTGCTGTAAGAAATTTTGCAGTAGTAATATTTGAATTTTTTGCACTCAGCCACAGATCCACTCACAAACTTAGGAATGTAGTGCCCAGTAATAATAATGAGAATCAAGTGCCAAATATCTCCTGTGCATTTGGCAATTATTAAGTAAGGAGCATTCTGTGTAAGGAAAACAGATGCAGTTTGTACAGCAGCTGTATATGCTGCTATCATAATATCCTTCTTAAGCATGGGAAAGTACCAGAGCCTACTTCTCCAGTTTTAAGTGATTTCTGAAAATAACAGTAAAAAGGATAAAAACTCATGACCCCAGGCAACATAATTGGAAAAATAAAAATTTGTCAGCTAAACAGTTGACAATCTCTTGGCATAATTAACACTCTAGATTAATGTAAGCAGCCTTATGAGTAAAGGTTTGGTTTAATTTGAAGACCTTTTTAGAGATATCAAACACTTTTTTTCAAAAACCTAATTAGATATGGTTAAATTAAATAGACTTCGAGCAGAGATTCTCTTCGAGGAAGAACTGGGATTGTAAAGATGGAGGCATTTATTGAGGAGAATCAGATTTTTCGTTTTCCTAACCAACAAAACCAACTATTATTTTGAAAAATGGTTTGAATCTAAATACTTTCACAGATAATTAGTTTAAGGATTACAAGTAAAGCCTAAATCCAGTGTGCTGCCAGCATCTGTAAAAGCCTAAATCATAGAGGATCATTCTGGCAGTGAGTTGGTTCTGTGGCAATGTACCAGTGAAAGAGGGCTATGATTCTGTGTTACTGAATTCTCTGTAGTCAGATTTAATTTGATGGAGGCATTTGGTTACTTAGAAGATGGCAAGGTGGATATAGCAGCATCTGCAAAATAATTGATATGTGAAACAGAATGGGAAAGATTCAACATGGCCTTTCAATGGTCTTTTCTGCTGATTTTTTTTTTAATTATAATGTTGAGAATTGTAAACTGAATTATCAGATTTTATGATTATTTGATCTAAAGCAACTGAAAATTTAGTACATAAGTGAAATTTCAGGATCTTTAAAAATAGTGCCAGTGTGAGGAAAATCTGAAGATGGGAGGGAGATTCTGGTAGGTTTTTACTGAAAAGTGTCAGGGTTATCAAGTGTGCTCCCTCTTTACTTTCTGAGTACATATTAAAGCAATTTTAAAGCAAAAATCTGTTGTGTCCATCATTGTCCCTTAAATCTTGCTTCTCCAGGGAATTATAAATCTGTAGTTACAGAAGGTATATTTATGTTCAATGTTTACAGAGAGACAAAGAGGCGTATTAGTAAAACAGACTGCAACTGTATCATCTTCTTCAAGAAGTCAAGGATCTACTGTAAGTCTTCTGCAACGATTTTTCTCCATTAGATCATCTTCTGTTTCCTTCTAGAATTCTGTATCAAAGGCTGCATTCACACATGATTTTGAATTGGCCAAATTATGTAACTAGATTGAATATAGCTGTTATCTGTCTGATAGTTTTCCACTGTCAACAGCATTTATTTGTGAAGAACTTTGTCTTCATGATGAATCAGTTAACTCTTTCACTGTGTTGTGTTTGTTGGTTTGTGTCTCATTGGATTATCTATGTTTGAAAAGAATTGAACTACTCTGTAGTTCAAAAGCCATTTCTGTCATGTGAATTCTTCAGAGTAAACAATATTATATTTATTTCTACATTTTTGGAAACTGCTATGGCAAATGTTCTTTGCCATAATCAAGACTAAACTAAAGCATTTGTTGTGGTGTTAGAGAAATGTGTTTCCAAAATAACTTTCCTCATTCCTTTAGGCCATATTATGTATACAATGATAGAGCCTGAATGTAAGTAGTACCTTAACTTTCCTTCTAATGCAGGGAGAGGGAAGAACTCTAGGAAAGTCTAATTCTATCAAAATGAAAGGCGAAAATGGAAAAAATGCTAGGGAAGTCCGGCTGTCAAAGAGAGAAGACTCTATTGCAAAGATTGGGAAAAAAAAAAGTCAGAAAATAAATTTGGATGAAGCTGAGGGTATGTGAACTTTATAGCTTACATATTAACATAAGTAGTCTTAGAAAAAATTTTGTGTCTGTGTAGGTGCTGTGTGTTTAATACTGTGTTGTGAAAATCATAGTCATGACCATTGTATTTTTGTTTGGTGTGTTTGAATTGTCAAGTTTTCGTAAGTTGAAAGTAAAATATTAAGAATACCTAAACACTGATGTAGGTGTCCAGTGGGATTTTCAAAAGTGAGGAGTACCTAATTCTTATAAAATAAAAGGGAATTAGTTACTCTACTGCAGTTGAACATCCCATTTGATACTCTGTAAGCTGTGTGGAAGCTTGGCTTTCTGTTCACCTCTATATAAGTGTTTGACAGGCACTGCACAGTAGTGTAGACCCAAATGTACTCAGGTAAGAATTTTTCTAATTAAGTTTTTTGCTGAACTCTGTAACAGCCAGGGCAGGGCAGTCTGACTGTGGAGGAGATGTGATGGGCCACAGAAAAACTTGCATTCAGCAAAAGGTGTTTAAAAGTAGAAAAAAGCAAAGAGGTTATTGGTAATCTTGCATTTCCTGAGTCCTATTTTTACCTTTTTTACATCTTAATAGTTCTGGTGATATCATCAGAAAAAATCTCATGAGGGAATTTGCTTTCTTATAGAAAGATGTCTATGGGCAAAAGAAAAATAAAAATGATATAGCACTAGAAATTTTGGCATAACACCCTGTGCCCTAGGACATGAACTGAAGTGATTACCTGTCTGTCAACCCTACACGCTCCTCCCTATTTTCCCATGTAGGAAAAAAAAAAACCTCAAAGGACATATTTGACCCACAGATTAAAATTTACTGCTGAAGTTACCCTGTATGCGTATCCAAAGCCTGGTTATGCACATTTATGCAGCAAATGAATGTTTACCTTTGAATGTTCATCTGTGAATAAATGTCCACTGACTAGAACTGAAAAAAAAAATGCTATGGCTAAAACTTCTACTGCAAAATATGTTTTTTCATATAAGTGTTATTACAAAATATTAGTGCATTTTAAATTATTTTCTGTTGCTTACTCTTTTGTTAACTTATTTTCCACATTTTAATACTTTCATTTTTTTTCCTAGGACTGAGTAAAACATTAACATAATTTGAAAACTTCAGAATTCGAGGCTTTCACATTTTATTTTGAGTTTTGTGATATTTGTCTAAGTTTGAAAATTGCATACCAAATGTTGTAGACTGTTTTTTAATGCAAAAACAAACAACTGTTTCATGAACTTTGAAATTTCAGAAACATTTTTGTATGACACATCTTAGAACTGTTGCATGTTTTAATATGCCTACTGCCATTTTGCAAAACTTTGGCAATAAGAAGCATTTTGAAGCTTCCATCTTGGCTACATTCAGATTTTGCAGCATTTGAAAAAGCATGTTAAAAAGTCATTTTTATGAATACATTGCAAAGCCTGCCAAGTATGAGTAGAGGATTTAGGAATAAGGTCATACAAGTGCAAGTGTACAACTTCATACTATGCTAAGTTAAAACTGATACTAATGTTCTGTTGCTTTATTCCTTAATGGCTTTTGCTTCAAACAGTATTAATAAGCTGGGTCGAACTGTTGATTTTATTTAATCTGTTGGAGATGGCCTTTTTAAGCATCTTTTAATATTCTATAGTTAAAGTGTTTTCTTCTTGAAAAATTAGGACATGCAGAGACCCTATATTAAGATTTACATATTTTTATATGTCTATGTTTTGTACCAAAGAGTTTGTTTATTGTTGCAATGCTTCTTTTTTGAGGAGTGGTATAACTCTTGGCTTACAATTGATAAGTTTCTTGTTGCCAAGTTTTGAAACTTTTTAGAACAGTGTTGATCTACTATGAGTATTATTTATAGAAACATATTAAACCATTGGATATCATTAAGGACATGATCAGAAAATCACTTCTAATTGTGTTAAAACCTCTTTAAAAAGCTGCCCCATCGCTTTTAGTTATGGCTCCTTGGATGGTTACTAACTACCTGTAAGCTACTGATTCATTGCATCTCTAAGTAAAATGGGGTTACCTAAATCATCATCTGATCATACCCTGTGATGATAACATCCTGGTTTAAAACTACACTATGAATTGAATTGAAACTGTGATAAAATAGAATTACTCTGAGAGAAAGTCAATATAACAAGGAAGTTTGCAACATTCTGAATCTTTGAATGTTCAAATGGCATGCTATTTTTGAGTTCAGATGGGTAAAACCCATGCAGAATATAAAAATGTGCACCCATTGTCTGTAAGACTAGAGCCTTGTTTTGTATAAAGAATTAAAAAATCCTGCATGTGTGTACAGATTTATTAACTGCGTAAAATAGAAGATGTGTTCAAGGCTCAGTGAATTGCAGCTGTTCTAAACTGCAAAACTCTTACAATAGCAATGCTGATGGTCTTAATTATAGTGATGCTAGTGAACATTGCTGCAATTGAAAAAGTTCCTAATTAACATGGGATCTTATTTCAAGGCAGCATTGAAAGAATTGAAGATCTTCATGGAAAATAAATGTGCTGAAAATGTACATTTTAATAGCATTGCACTTTCTGACAAAAACTTGTCAATTTTGGGTTTTTCCCCAATAGAATTTTTTGAACTCATATCCAAAGCACAAAGTAACAGAGCAGATGACCAACGTGGACTGCTAAGGAAAGAAGACCTTATTCTTCCTGACTTTCTTCGTTTACCACCTGCTGGACCAGAACCATCCTCATCTACACCCACAGGTCCTAAAGGCCTCAGCAAGCGAGTTTCAAAAAGTGATGGCAGTGATGGATGTACATCACCCAGTGGAAAACAGGAGTCCGTGCAAAACTTTAATGAAAATTCAGTAAAGAAAATGGGTTACTCAGAAAACAAACATAAGTCTGCTTTGGCAGCACTCCACAGCCAGAAGACTTTCAGTGTTCCTCTCAGTCCTCCGTTGTCTCCAATTCCTCACGCACAGGAGGGCAACGCCGCGGTGTGGAAAAGGCAGTCGAGAGAGTTGCAGGCTGAAGGCATTCAGATGGTGGATGATGAGAATGTGGCAGACTTGACTCTCGTGGCTGAAGGAGATATTAGCAGCCCTAACAGCACTTTGCTACCACCGCCACCATCAACGCCACTGTCAGACATCAGTAAACTCACGGAAGCCAACTATCCACCCCCAACTCCTTTTGCAGGTAATCAGGAAAAATCTGGATATCAAAGATCCAATTCAGGTATTTCTAGATTTTAATAGTCTTTCCTTTCGTGTTAACCTACTTTTCCTTGGCGCTGTTAATCAGTATTTGGCACCCATTAAAACAACAAAGAAAATTCTCTCTGCACCTTAATTTTTTTTTTTTTCAAACCAAAAAAAAAAAGAAGGAAAAAATATTTTAATTGCCTTAGTCTGTTCAAACTGTAATACTTCTGGTTGCCTTTAACAATGTACTTTTTGTTTGGATTTGGCATGTAACCACAAATGGCCACATGCAGACAAACCTTTGAAATACATCCACATGCTATAATTATCTCATTCACCCTCAGAGTACAAAACAGGATATCAGCATTTTGAGCTCCACAGCACTGTTGTGTTCCAGATTTTCTGATCCATTTCTCATAATGAGATACATGATTAGGGTTTGGAAGTTTAAGTACTTTAACAAAGCCCCTAATTATGTGTTGAAAATTGCAGTATTGTTTATGATTAAAATTTTAAATGGATAAGGCTCAACTTAGGATATATTTCACTAATAAATTTGATATTTGTAACAAAAGTAAAAATGTTATTTTTTTTAACCCATACTTTGCTACACAGAGAAATAGATTGCATCTATCACACTTTCTCCCAGAATATTCACATATCAAGTAGCTTTCTAATAGATAATTTTAAAGAAAATATGTAACTTTTTTAGGATGCGAGTTTCATGGTCTAGCAATATCACAGAGCAATATTAGCCCAAGGCTGAAGTATGGAATTTCTTTATAAACATGGACTCTAATAATAATTGCTATTACCAGAAACAGGAATTTGAAGACAATGGGTGTCGTGACATTGACATTTACAGTCATTGTACTGTGCATTTTAATGTAAAATATAAGAAGAGGTATCTATGTGCTACATTTATTTTTGATGTTTCACAAACATATGGTGCCATATTTGTATGATCACATTTCTTTGTGATGTGGGAATATACATTTTAATTATTTATCTTTTTACACAGAGTATTTGATACTGTTCTTTATCTGTATGGTTGATGATTTGTAAATACTTCTTTGGTTGTTGGATGCTTATAAATGGCAATGCAAATGATTTCATCCTCTTGGCATTTTAAAAGCCAATTCCTTTATTAGTAGTATCTGAGAAATGTTCTATTAGCGCTACCACTTAATTTCTGAAACTGAATATTAGACGGACTTGTAACCAGTGCCTATGAATAACAGAACCACGAAATGTACTTCAGACATATTGATGTATATATGCATAGATTTGTGTTGGTGTCTTTCTGATAATATGTCAAGTGTATAACATAGGTATCAGTTTGCATATTTTTCAGTGAGAACTGTTAAAAAACCATTTGCACTTAAAAAAAAACTTCATGAATTTACAATATTTTAATGCATGCCATAAGTTTCTGTGTAACCACTGAGCTGTAGCTTTCCCTTTTCCCACTTTCTACTTTTTACTTTGTAGAAATCTTTGTGTAGTTTTCACATGTATTTTGTATCATTGTTCTCTCAGGAGTAATAAATTCTAGCTCTAGTTACGCAAACTGGTTTTAAGCTTTCATTTTATTCATTATTTTAAAAATTCTTTCAGTCCTGGATTAAGAATTCTGATTGAAATTATCTTCTGATGACAAACAGATAAATAGATATGAACTAGCAATTACCATGACAGAAAGCTGATTTTTTAGACATCAAAGGCCAAATGCTGTCTTGAGATGCTGATGGGTCACATGTGAAATCCATAGCATTGGCATGTGCTCCAGAAGGCTGATAAGGCAGGAGATTTCTTTGGAATTAGTCAGAACTCCTGAAAGGAGAATTTCTTCTGTCTTTGGGTTCTTGGGCTAAACTTTATATTCATTACTTTCCTTCTTATTTTAAACTAAAGCAACTCTTCCCTGGTCTCTAAGAAGTGAGCTGGAGATCTCAGCTCATTTGATGTGGAGTAACCAAAGTAACCACCTCTTTATTTGGTAAACTTGGGTAAGAAATGAGGGGTTGGTTGGGTGCTGGAGACCACACTACTCTTCACTCTTTGAGATGGGTCCTACATAACAGCACTGTGAAGCCTGATTAAAAAAGAATAATTCTGCAGAGAGGCGTGTCGTGCTGTTAACTAGGCCTCATTGTGTTCTGGGGAATGAAAATCCAGTTTTTCCAAAAGTCACTGTGTTCTCACATATTTGTAGGCCACCATGAGAGAAAATAAAGCAGTGGAAAGTCCTGTAGCAGTTCCCCTTCTAAAATTATTCAGACTTTTTCACAACAAATAGCTAGTACCTTCCATATTTAAATTATTATTTTTAATGGATTTTAATTAGCATGTATTTCAACTAGTGTTCCATACTTTCAGTGGTGATTGTGCCTTATTATTCTGTCATAGTCACCCATGAGAGTAAGTAATCAAACTAATTTTTCAAAATTAAAAATCTAAATTTCTTTTAGCTTTCTGGCAAACCAGATTTTTTTTTTAGGAATAATAAAAATAAAAAAAAAAAATGAAACATCTTCCTTTTTTTGCTACAATCTTATTGCATATATTAGGTGTATTCTACACTCCTCTCACAACACACTACTATTTAATGGGAACTGTATTCTATAAAAGAACGGTGATTTTATGGAAAAAATGTGGGCTGAATCAAAACTTTCCTATTTTCATGATTCAAGTTTGCATGGAAAGGCTGTTTGATGATGTACATAATTATAATAAAGACTTCTGGAAACTCTCTCCAGTCAAGAATGGAAATCTCAAAGAACTAAATCATTAATAATGGTTGCTTTTTTAAGTGCTTTAATGGTTCTTCATAACCCCCGTCAATGGAAATGGCATTTCTGATTGGTTTATTCAATTAAAATGTTGGGATATAAAGAAAAATAATGACTCCATAATTTGAAGAGGGCTCTAGTCTTGGTTCCAAATTGGCCTAAAGACAAATGACGTGGGTGCTTACCCTGCACATTTTGGGTTCATAAATGCTGGGAAAAGGACTGGGAGGGATGAAGGGCTCCCTCATGTTCTGCAGGGGGCAATTTGCTGATGTAGCAAAGCCAGGCCGATGTCCATCCCTCTAATGGGTAACACTTGAAGTTTTTTTCACCTGATGATCTAGAAAGCAGAATATGAACAATGGAAGGCAGCAAAATAAGGTTTGCATCACTCTGAGCTTTTGAGAACACACTTTCAAACTCAGTTCTTAACTTTCTGAAATAAGTGAAATGTTTTTATACTGCATTAATACTTAGCTATGAAGTAAATAGCAAATCAGTTAGCAACACAAGAATCATTACTGATTCTAGTTGCGTTACTCATCAAGAGAAAATGTCTTTATTTTGAATAAGCCTGCTAGTTCTGGCAAATTTCCCACTTCAAAAATCAGAGGTTTCTGGAATGTGAAGACATTCTTTCATGTCTCTACATATAATAGTGGTCCCATCTGTGGAAGAAATAACTATTGTGTGGTGTGATTGGCTTGAAGTGATGCATTCGTTTTTGAAAGTGTTAAAATGCTGATTTAATTTCCTTGGCTTTTTTTCTTTTGTTTTATTTTTTTTAATTGCCTGGTATAGTCTGAGTGCTTTGAATATTATCCATTTTTTTCCAAGAGGTTGGGCACATGTGTTAGCCATGGGGAAAGGCAGCCTCCCTAACCTTTAGTCTCCTTAAGAGCTGTCAGTATTAAGCCACAGGCTTAATTGTTTATTCAGCAATATTCCACTGGTCTGAGTTGTTCATGATGGTTTTTGCCTCTACGACAAAGTAGGTGGGCATTTTGTCATGATAGCAGCTGGGCTTTTTCATGGAATACCATTGCAACCTGAAGTAGAACAATTTGCAGCAATCTGGATTGAAATGCACAGACTGTAGATTTGAGTCCAAGAAATCATTCTTCCTTCTCTTAAAAAATTCCCTGTTGTTTTTGGGGCTTTGTTTTTTCCAGCTAGGATGAGAATTGTTCTCAAAATGATACTAGAGTTACAGTCAGTGGAATCATCTATCAGATATGAAGGGGTTTTTTTTAAGATGTATAGATTGGATCCAGCAATGCAATTGAAAAATTTATTCAAAGCTACCTTTTTAGTAAGCATATGATATCATTGGTTAAGATAGAGACCCAGCTAGGGAAAAGAAATGCATGGTGAACTTGCTAATTATGCTTCAGTAGAATGTCTATGGAACTTAAAGAATTAATTTAGACAGTCTAAAGTTATATAGCTTTTTTTTTTTTTTAAGAAACCACTTTGTTTCTAAAATAAATATACAATTGTACCCTCAAAATAAACTTGCTTCCTTTCTTGTTGGAAAGAAATCTTTCAAAAATGGAATAGTTAGTACCAGTGCTAGGATGTTTTGTGAAAGATAAATTACGCAGAAATAAAATGCAGGGTAGTCTTGGACTGACTATTGTTCCCAAAGCCAAAAAAAAAAGTAAAAAATATCCCCAACTGATCTTTATTATTCACAGAGAGAATGCAGTACCCTGCAGCTGAAGAATAGAGATCAGATAATTAGAATAGAGATCACTGGTATTTCTGTGACTTTCACTTTTTTTGGCTACTAAACTTTTCAGTTCTAATGGTAATGAATTCCAAGTGGAAAAAAGTTTGTGGTAGTTAAGGAGACTAAGAGCAAACACATCTATCTTCAAAATTTGAAAATGAACCTTTGTTTTTTGTAATAAATGATACAATATTTTACATAACTAATATTTTATATAATCTCTTCATTCATGTGGCATATTTTAGAGACAGTCCAGTGATGTTCCCTGTGTAAATCAAGATAACCACATGAACGAAAACATAAATAAAAATTCAAGAAGAGGAGGTGATTATGACATAAAAGATGTAAGAGTAATATAAATCATTATTTTTAACAAAGGCTGTTTTCTTGGAGTAACTTACATCCTTTACTGGTTATGTGTAAATTTTTAGAAGATAATTGGATTCTGGATCAATATAAATAAGTACCCATGAGAATCCAGAAATACTAAGCCTGGGATGTCTTAATCCTCTTTTAATCAGAGCATATTTAAATGTTAAAATTACATGTAGTATGTGACTGTGATCAACAACAAACAGAGGAGAAGGAGAGTTTAGAGTAGACAAATGGGAAGTATTTACAGTAGACAAATGGAGTAGACAAAAGGAGTACCTTGGGGGATGATTGAAATGTCAACTTATTTTAATTAAGCAACAAGATAAACATTTTAGAAAGAATTGCAAATTTTATCACTTACTGGATGAAATGTTAGAAAAATGACAGCTGTCCTTTGAACCAAATGCACATGGGCTAAACCCAGATCTGTGCAAACCCATGGCAGCATTTGGATGATGAAATGAACTTTGCTGAATTATCGGTGAAACCACATTTTAGGCTCTCATAATTGAAAAATAACTTAATGGATGGCAGATTAAATTAAAATTGATTCAAGTAATTCAATCCCCTATCTCCCAACATGGGCTCTCTGCAATAATTAAACCTTCTGTTACCAACTGCTGATGGAAAACCACAGTGAAGGTTAACAATAAATGCTGGAAGATCACACTGAGGGCTGAATATGTGTAGGCTGCTGCAGAGTTGTTTTATCATGTCTACTACTTGGAAAGTAGTAAAAAATTGTTTCAGCTTTAGCAGTGGAGAAACAGAAAGTTTGAGCAAATTGGACAGGGTTTATGACGGCACACGTGTCTGCCTGGATCAAAATTCAGAACTTTTCATTTAAGTTATTTGTGGAGTGCTCCTGGCTTTGAAATGATGTTGTGTGCAGTTCCCTTCAGCTGCTGTTGTAGCTGTGTACATGGAGGGTCCCTGCCCTGAGCAAACACAGGTTGCAGTGTTCCCTCTTTTGCATCTGTATGCCACTGGTGAGCTCCTTCTTCCATGTGGTAGTCCAAATTTGTCTTTCTGAATAGTGTTTGGTGCTTTGTTCTACTTGTGAATGCTTTGGAGATGAGTGCAATGAAAGGATTTCCATCTGCCCATTTCTAAACTTAATGCTGCAAATGTATTCCCAAAATTCCCTGGAAAAAAGTAAATAAACTGGTAATGTACAATATTGCTGCTTTGTAGAATAACCCATTTCCTGGCTCGATGCCTTCATTTTCCTGAGTCAGATTTCAAGGCACTGAGCATATGCCGCAGTTGCTGTTTCATCATGCAAGTGAAATTCAGCATATAAAGTCAAATTTCCTTTGAAAAGATTTAGCATAAACTGTAGGTAGGAATCTTTTATTAAATCTGCTTTCTTCTTGGTGCTGTATCAATTAAGAGATAAAAAGAAGGAAACTGCCAAAGAAAATTTAACCTCTGGTATTCTAAAACTTCAATGTAAAGCATCCTTTTCCCTTCAGAAGCATAAATCACTTTTCAAACTTAAAAAAAAAAAGGTTCTTGCAGTAGTAACAGTATGTCTGTCAGTGTGGAAATCATTCATCCACCACTTAAAAGAAATCATATGTGGGAGGGCTAATATGCAGAAGTAGCATTTCCTAACAGTTTAGGACAGGAAGGGATAAGTGTCTTTCCGAGAGTGAAACTGCCAGATTA